TGAATCTTTAGCACAGTCATATTGTTTGTTGCATGTGATATAGAAACTCGTATTGCTCGTCGAGACATCCTTGCGGGCAATGCTCATTTGAGTATCATGACCAACAGATGTGTCACTCTCTTAACGAGTAGAATAAGTCATCAAAGCAAATGGGTAAGCATAAAAACATGCAAGAAGCCCACATTGAGATTATTCAACCGAAGCACGAAAAAATCACAATGGGTGTCTAAAAGGGCAAAGCACCCATCATGCAAATGGATGCAAGGGTGACTATATACAACATGACACACACAAATGAGATATACCAATAAAGCATGCTACCTATGGAAAGGAATTATGTCTGTAGGGGGACTCGGGGCGCCATGCAATAAGCAGACACCGATTACGAATGAGTTTGCATTGAGGAAAAGAACATCTATGTAAAGGATTTACATCTTACCCGAGGGGCACTCATCGAGCACACATGCAAACATGCAAGATATGCAACGGGCATATAAGAAAAGTCAAATATATGACATGTAGAAATGTCAAGCATATGACATACAAATATCAAACATACAAGAATGTTAAGTGTCAAACATACTAAGTGATGTAAACCTTACAAGTGATAATCACACGCCTAGGAGGACACACATTGTGCCTCACATGAGTTCAGCGGCTTGGAAGCGTCGTAAGTGTTTATCTCCGTGCATACATCGTCATATGTGGGGAAGACACTTATAAGTGTGGGCGCTCAAAAAGACACTACAAGCATGGATACTCAAAGAGACATCCAAACAAGCCACATACAAAGCATATAACGCAAAAATATTTTACATATAAGGGAAAATCGTATAGAACAAGTCAAAATATAATTTTCATGCACATACAAATACATAAGTAGTATGAAAGAAATGCACACAAGCATGCAAGTGATTAGTCGACTGGACCATGGAGGTCAGACGAACCAAAGGGGTAGGTCGATCAATCTGGGATGATCGATCGAACCTAAAGAATGGGTGATCGGCCTGGGGCAACCAATCAGACCCAAAGCAGGTGATTGACACGGGGCGGTCGATCAGACCTAAAAAATCTGATGATTGGGTCAGCGTGGCTGATCAAGCTCGAGAATTAAGTTGATCGAGCTGGACCGACCGATCAAACTCAAAGCGAGTGATCATACTGGTACGGTCGATCAAACCCAAAAGATTGAGCAATCAGGTTGAGGCAGTCAATTGAGCCTGAAGAATAGGTCGATTGGACCGGGACAACCGATTGGACCTAAAGCAGGTTATCGATCAAACCAAAAAGATTAGCCAATTGGGTTGGGGCGACCAATCAAGCTCGAGAAATGATTCGATCAGGCCAGGATGACTGATCAGATCCAAAGAAAGTGATCGCAACGGTGTGGTGAATCAAACCAAACAAATAGGGTGATCAGGTCGGGGCGGGCGATCGAGCCCGGAGAATAGGTTGATCGGGTTGGGACAGCCGACCAGGTTAAAGCTAAAAGATCATATGATTGAGTCGGGGCAACCAATCAAACCCTAAAGATCGGGCAATCGAGCCATCATAATAAAAATAGGGCTAACATCATAAGATTATAGTATGTGAGTCTTAGGATTAGGGTTTTGAGAGATTTTCTACCTCTCAAATTGCAAGTGCTTATTTTTATGTATTTGTGTAGTGTTATTTGGTGTTCCAGAAATAAAAATATTTTATGCCCTAATTTTTGTGAAAAATCGGTTTGGATCGTATCAAGTGATATCAAAGTAATTAATTTAGTGGGTGATCATCTACGCGATAGCAGTCACATTCGTTCGTGACCTAGCCTCGCAAAACGGTCCCGATCCGAGAAATCTGGGAGAATAACGACGAAATCTTCTTGAGATTCAGCCATAAGTTGACCTAGCCGGAAGCCAAAGATTAAAATGATGCATACATAAGCGACAAAACCTCTCGATACACCCCGCGATTGGAGTTTGTTGGGAAGACCGAAGTGATCACAACATATACGAGTAGGGTTGTAAACGAGCCGAGCTTGAGCAAGCTCAGACTTGGCTCTTGTTCGGCTCGTTCGAAATAGCTCGTGTTCGAAAACGGCTCGTGAACAGTGTGTTCGTGTTCAACTCGATTTAAATATTCGTGTTCGTGTTCGGCTCGTGTTCGGCTCGTTAAACTAAAATTGAAAAAAATAGGTGTAAAGTGTGGGATTCGAACCTGGATCAAATATATACAAAAGAAGACACTAACCACATTGTCACATGAGGTGTTATGATTTAAATTTATACATAAATATATATAATCTATTATTATATAAATAATATATGTAATATATTGTTATATAAAAAGTTATATAAATTT